AAGGAGACCGCGATAAAAACGACCGGCAAATTTTTACAAATTTTTAGAAATAAAAACGCCTCTTGGGGAGGTCCGTTTTTAAAAATTGCTATATTTACGTATAAAAACGACTGCTGGGGATGCTCTGACGAAATTGTGGAATGTTTAGTCGAATTGTGGTTGTACATTATTGTACACATCGGAATTTTAAATGCGACGATGTCTAGAAGCGGTATTCTGGATCACAAACGAGCACCTGCAAAGGCGAGGTCGAGCCGTGGCGTCCACAAGATGCTTAGAGAGAATAGACGAATGGACAAGGACAACACTAAAATCGTGCAAGCTACTAGTAGTTACGATTCAAAGATTTCTTCGAGCAAAATGTGCAAATTGATGTTGCCGAGGTGGCCCGACTTGAACTGCCGAATCGCACGCAGAAACAGCACAATGCTCTGAAACACATTGGTTTTGCCCTAATCCGCATTCCACACGTTAGACTATCCCAAAGATCACAAACGACATACCGGGAGGATCTCACGCACTTGGCCGTTGGCAATGACCTTGAAGTTGGGCGGCGACGGCTGGCTGTAGTAAATGAGAAACATGCCGCGGATGCTCGCCGACTTGGTGGGCGGCACGGGCGCGTAGTGCGCGCGGCGGAACGGACGGTCATTGTCCGAGACGGCCGGCAAGACGTCATCCAGCATCGCACAAAAGAGGTTCATAATGAGCTCCGCGTCCGTCGGCAAGTTGGCCTCCTTGGTCCACGCCTTGCCTACGCCATCCTGAGCGACTCGATTCTCAAACATGTGTTGGCGTACCCTTCCACGCACCGCCACTGTCCCAACGGTACTGGCCCAGAAAGCCATCTTCCGCGAGCGTCCGGAGCCGCTGGATGCAGTACGCCTTGCTGTACTCTTCCTTGACGTCAAAGTACTTCATAAACTATCGGGAAATTTGAGACATGAAGTTGCTCAATCAGACAAAGCGTACCGTCTCGTACTCACGTAGCAAGTGGACGTTCGGCCTAGTCTTGGACACAAAGAGCGGGTCGGCGCGACAGGCGGTAAGGAGATCGTGCAGCGCAATCTGGTGGAACGTGGTCGGCTCGGTCGCGCCCGGCATGACGACGCTCAGGAGCGGCTGGACCGTGATCTCACACAAGAGCATCTCGCGGCGCAAGCCACACGCCACGAGCTCGTCGACGTTCTGGAGAAAGCTCACGAGGACGTCCTGGAGGTGCTGTGCGAGCACTTGGCGGAGGCGGTCGCAGATGTCGCCCATCTGACGCGGCTTGAGCCGGCACTCGGCGAGGACTTCGAGCGCCTTCTCGACGTGCGGTGCGCTCGAGAGCGCCGACTCGAGCTCCTTCCGCACCGGCGGCTTCATCGTCGGCTTCATGACCGCGTACGTCTGCGAATAGAGACCGTTCGGGTTGATCGCCGACGACATTTCCATGCCAAAACCAAAGTTCAAGTGGGCTTCTTCCACCGGGTCGGCGCTCGACGCGGGCGCTTGGAACGCGCGGAGCTCAGCGTCGGTCGAGATGGCTGCTGGCGTCGAGGGTTTCGTAATGTGCGTGCCATAGACGATGCCCGGCGCCTTGGCCTCGGTCGTCGGCAGCGCAAGGCCCTCGGGCGCCATAAAGCCTACATATTGCGTGGGCTTGCGTCGCCACGGCAGTAGGCCATCGGTACCTTTGCGCTGGCGCAGGCCATCGGCCACCGGTGGCGTTTCCTTCTTGGCCTCGACCGGCGACGATTGCTACACGATGCCTGTATGAGGCTGTGGTCGCGTGGGCTGTAGGTTGTACCGTCGCTTCCAGCACGAGCGTCGAGAGGCGCTGGAGAGCAAAGTACGCGCTGCGGCCAGAGATGGCCAAGCAGACGAGCGCCATGAGGTAGCCTACAGGCGCATCGTCATGGGCGACGGCGAGGATATGGGCGACGCGATCTACCTGGCAGCAAGACGAAGAGGACGACGGGCACGGAGCGTGCGCCGAGGGCGCCGAGGAGGTAGAGAAGCGCCATGCTCACAAGGAGGGCGACGGCGCCGCGGAAAGATGAGAACTGCGCATGCTGGCGCTTCCAGTACGCGTCGACCTGCCGCGCCTCCAACGTGCTCGTCGAGGCCATGCTCAAGCTCATTAACCACGAATACAGCGACTGGCACACGATTGGTCAAAATACAATACGCACCACTATTCAAATGCCACGGTGCCATACACATCACAAGGTATTTTAAATCCATTTAAAAATCATGATTATTCGCACGCGGCAGGGATTGGCCAAAAATACTTTGATGGTACCGCATGATTGGTTCCTTTTTGGATTTGTTTGGCGTGATGCGATTTGGCTTTGTGCAGCAGCGAAATGCGACGAGCCAAACGACAATAGTGTTGTACTAATACTACGTAGCAGACTACGTAGTAGCCAACAGAAGGTTTGTTAATTGTACTATAATACGAAATAACATTCAGACTCGAACATGAGGTCCAAATATGCTACGCACGGCGAGGAAGATTTGAGAAGGATTCATCGGACAAAGTGCACACGCCACCGCGAGCGGTCACCGTGCACCCGACGACGACGCATCTCGAAAGCTTGCCAATCTTGCCAGCAACTTTGTGTAGTCTTGCATAAACGTGAGCATTATTAGATTAGTTTTTGATTATTTTGATGGAGACCTCACAAGTTACAATGCAACAAGAAGAAAGCACTTTTTGGCAAACCAGAGCTCATAAATACCATAAATAAGGTGTTTTTGCTGTTTACCGACCATCACGACCGATGACAACGCGTGCACGGTCCTCACCATTCGCGCTTTGCTCGATCGTGTCAGAGTTTGTGGTTCGAAAATCTTTGGCGCTAGCCAACGCAAGAGAGAGGAAGCCTGGCGTCATTCCAATCTCCAGGCACGATTGCATCGTCTTGAAGCCACTGCGTGACGAGCGCGTGCTGGTATCCCCGCTGAGCCATCATCAATCTCGTCCGGCGCTCGAATGGTCACTCTGGAGAATGTTGGTCTTTACGTCCGACCTTGTGCCAGCCAGATCCGATGCTCATATCCCTAGTCCTACCGTGCAGCAAACTGTACATATATATAAACGCCAATGTGTAGAATATTGCCCACCAACCGCGCCGGTCGCTTCCGCAGTGCGATGTATTTTCCCATCGCCCAGTCCCTACAGCAGCTAATAAAACGCAACGTTACAGCATACCATTTAAAAAGAGTATGAAGTGGTGCAAGGTGGCTCCGCGCTGTCAATACTTATCAACAGCCTTGATTCCTTCTGTCCGCGTGGTCGTGGTCACGATATAGGCTGTAGACTATACGTTACTGAACTGTCTATATACAGTCGAGGCGATGCTCTTGAAGCACGTGCTGCTGCGTGGACGCGGGCGGTTGTCGGCAAATTGCGTGTGATTAGTCATCGCCCCACTATCCGGTAACGAGGTCTCCGGATACCAAAGATATGTGTGTCGAGCCAGGTCATTTTCGAAAAGTAACCGCAGGCACGAGGTCGCTCGCTGCAGCAGCATGCTCGAGACTACACTGCAGCGCTCGGTGGCCGTCGACAACAACGCACAGCATGAGCTGCCGCCCAAGCACCTCGCCGACCTGCGCCGCAGCCCATCCCGCCGCTCGCCTCGGCGCAGCGACGCCTGCATGGCTGCGACTGGCGACACGTCGAGCATCCTTCGCCGCGAGTTTGCCCAGTCGCTCGACAAGATGACGGCGCTGCAAGCGTCGATCGGGGCGTCAATGCAGGAGGCCCACGACGCAGAGGTGCGCGAGCTCAGCCAGCGGCTCCAGGCGCTGCGCTCCAGCCACGCGACCGACAAGGCCGCCTTTACCTCTCTCTTGACCGCGCTCTCCAAGACGGCGACCGACATCCAGGCGCAGCTCCACCAGCTTACCCATCACGAAGCCAAGCGCGACGCGTGGGACCAGCGCGTCGCTACCAAGCTGCAGCATGCCGAATCGACGATCAAGCTCAACGTCGGCGGGCGGTACTTTGAGACGGCCAAGGCCAACCTGCTCCGACAGCCGGAGACGTACTTTACAGCGATGCTCGCGAGCGACCTCTGGGCTCCCCGTGCCGACGGTACCGACGTCGCTCTCTCTATATGTGGATGCTCAACCGCTTGTTTTAGGTGCGTACTTCATCGATGCGGACCCGGCGGTCTTTGAACACATTATGGTCTATCTGCGCGGCGACGAGATGGCATTTGACGCCATGTCGCATGCGATGGCGTACCGCGTCCTTGGTATGCTCGACTACTTTGGTCTCGACATTGCCATGTGGCAGCTGCCGACGTCGGCCGTGGACCTCGGCCTCGAGCGCCGTCGGTTTGACCTCGCCTCGACCTCGTGGCAGCCCGTGCACGTGCGTAGCGAGTATCCCTCGATTCGGTACTCGGTGCAGCTCATTGAACGCTCGACGCTCTGCTCGCGGCGCCCGCCCGTCGACGCCAACCGCGGCCTCCGACGCAGCTCGACAGTGAACACCAAGCCGCCGTTTTCGCTGCGCATCGGCTTTAGCAGCTCGACCGACCCGAGCGGCTACGGCACGGAGTTTCAAGGCGAAGCTTTCGAAGCTGGCGACGTGCTCACGGTCACCTTTCACAAGCCGTCCAACACGGTGCAGTACCTCTTGAATGGCACCGACGTGCCAAGCTGGACGACGGCCAAAGGCGTCGTGTGGGGCCCGGGACTCCTCTTTCCCTGCGTCGTGACGAACCTACCGCTGCTTCAGATGGCATTTGTATCGTAGGTCGAATATATTTCTGTGAAATTACGGTGTGTTGTGTAAGAAGTCCATGACAATTTTCTTCCTTATTTCATATATATATAGTATCAACGTAAAGGGTTTCGCATTTGCCGAGACGTACGAGGTCCAATCTGTCTACGACCTAACCCTACTAGCCCGCTGCCATTTTTGACGTTTCTTACAACTCCTAGCTCTGCAATCGATTGCGGCGATTGCAGAGCTGAGAGATAACATTTCGATGCAGCGCCAAACGTATCAACTTGATGTATTGCAAAAGTATCAAAGAGGATCATGGAACGGGTCGCTCTCGCTTGGCTCGCGGTGCCGCGGGTCGACGACGGGGAACGAGTCGGTGCGACGACCAGAAGTGTCTTTGCCGCGGTGAAGCTCGTCGAGCGCCTCCGACAGCCTTTGCATGAGTTCTTGTTGCTGCAGCGACGCCTCCGAGATTCTCGCTTCTCCGGCACCTCCCATGATGAGTGCGTTGCGCATGGCCTTGGTGTCGCGCCGGACTTCGTGCATCCACGAGCGCAGCGTCGACATCAACGCGTCTTCCTTCTCGGTAACGTCGGCTTCAGGTGCCGGGACAATGGCCGCTTCGAGCGCTGCCGCGACGCCGTCGGCCATGGCTTTCAACGGGACATCAATGTTGTGTGCGTGCACGAGCTGGAAGTAGTAGACAGCGCGGCTGTGGCCGTCGAGCGGCTCCAGCGGCTCGTCCGGTCGCCACCGACTTTGCACCGCGACCCGCAGCGTCCGGATCGTCGACTTGATGCTCTTCTTGAGCGCTTTGAGCTGCGTGGGCATGTCGTCCCCGCGGTGTTTCTTGGCCTTTGCAAAGAGAGTGCACAGTTTTTCTTTGGCCTGGTCGATCGCACGGAGCTCGGGGGTGAAGCCCGCGACGACACTTGCATCGGTGCTAAAATGATTCACCCGGCGCAAAAGACTCTCCAAGCTCTCGACGTGAGCGGGAACGGCCGCTTCCAGCGGTGACACGATGCTCTTCCATCCCGATTTGCGCATATTGTCGGCACGAATCGAGGCTTCGTGGTCCGGTCGCAGCGCGACGTGGGCGCGCGAGACGACTTCAAAGAAGATCGGGTTGAGCACTCGCTTATTGCAAGAGGCGTCGACGAGATGCATGAGGTCGCTTGTCTCGGCCGGCGTGAGACGCATGGCCTGCTCAAGACGAAGGATGCACTGCGCGTAGCTCGTGAGCGCCTCGGTCTTGGCCTTCTCGAGACCACCGTCGACCGTTTGGTTCATCATCGCGAGAAGCACATTGAGCAGCAAAATGACAACAACGGCCGAGTGAAACATCATGAGCACCAACGTGCACTGCGAGAGAAAGACGTCGTACGGGTCAGTCGCGTCAAAAGCACTTAGCGAGTCGAGGGGAAGTTGGCCAAACGCGACAAAGTACGTCGTGACGAACGACTCGCCAATCGTGTTGAACGCCTCGGCGTCTTGGTTGCGAAAGAGCTGGTAGTAGGTTATCGTGAGGCCCATTTGAACAACCCCGAAAAAGATGAAGAAATTGCGCACATCTTGAAGCAGCTTGGCGATCATCGGGAGGAGGTACCCGGCGGCCGGCACAACTTCGAGGAATTGCAGCGAGAGCATCCAGAGCACGATCGTAATGGCGCCACCAACGCCCGTCTGGACGGCCCACGGCGCCGGCAAGAAGCCCAGCTTCATCGGAACGAACACGACCAGAATGACCACGTTGACAAGCAGCTGCGTCTGGTTGATGCGCGACTTCCAATAGTTGGCGATCCCGGACGAGAGCATTTCTTCGAGCTCCGTCACGACAAAGTAGAGCGACGTGAGCCACAAGATGAAGTTGTTGCTCATCGGGTAGTAGCGCGCTAAACCCGAGAAGACGAGCATGGCGACGACTGGCAGCACAATCAACAGCGAAAGACAAACGCTTGCGGACGCCAAGAGCCATTTCGCCTTCATCTTGTACTTGGCAAGGTGCGGAATCGAGACGGAGAGGTCCAGCGAGAAGCGCCCGTCGTAGCACATGCGCGCAAGCCGATAGAGGTACGGCGGGCGGAGGCCTTGCACGACGAGATAACCCACGATAGTGTTGACAAAGACAAACGTTCCGAGAAGCATCGGGCCCGTGTTGGCCGCAATGCTCGACTCGTCAAAGAGCAGCGCCGACGTTGTCATTGTGATGAGCAAAAGCACGTTCATGAGCAGCTGCTCAATGTACTTGCGCTCCGCAAAGAGCTCCCACTTGATTTGGAGCATGCGCACCATGACAATGTGTTCCAAACACTCAGTCTTGGCCTCCAAGAGCAGCTCGGGGTTGACCGACTGGAGGTGCAGAATCGCGTGCAGCGCGCTGCCGTCGGCGGTCGTGCCGTACACATGTTCGAGCTACAGTTACGTTGAAAACTGCACGCGGCGGTTCAGAGCGCGCACCTGGCTAAAGCTCACGTCGTGCCGGTGCAATTCGACGCAGTCGTTGAGAAAAATGCGGCCAAGCGCTGGCGCACACGTGATCGCCTTGCGAAAAGCCTGCTTGGAGAACGCCTCGTCCGTGTCCTTGAGCACGAGCTGAGAGAGAAGGTACTTGCGAAACTCGGGCGACCCGCGCTGCTGCACCGCGCTCTCAAGGAGCGATTGGATCATGAGGAATGCATTTCGCTTCTCATGCTGTTTGGTGTCCAGGACGGCCATTGCTAGTGCCTTTGTCAGCGTAGTGCCATCCTACAACATATGTTACAAGGCAGTTTCGGAAAAGACATGTGATTGTACTGTGCGCACGACGTCCATGTCGGCGTAGCGGTCAATGAGGCTTTTGACAATGTCCACGTGCCCCCCGAGCGCGGCGAGGAAGAGCGCTGTCTCGCGGCTCTACGCCCGTGCGTTACAGACTGCATCGATTCGAGTGCAGAACCTCGTTTTTGACGTTGACTTTGGCGTTGACGTTCAGGAGGCAGTTGACGGCTTCGGTATGTCCGAGACGCGCGGCCAGCATCAACGCCGTGTCGCCGTTCTGCGCCACGTATAAGATTCGGATAAGCAAATCAGAAATGACGTACGATGTCGGCTCCGTTGATCTGAGGCGACGCCTGTGCCAAAAGCGCAAGGATCACGCGCGGGGGCTGGTCGTACACGATGGCTGCGTGCAGCGCCGACCGCTTGGCCTACGCCCACGACGTCCTTAGCGCCATTGGCGAGGTGGTAGGTACCTTTTTGAGCTCGTTGACAGCCTCCATGTTGGGCACGTTGGCCGTGTAAAAGGCGCTATGGAACTTCTTGACGGCTTGCTTGTCGGTAATCAGTTGTTTGCAGTGGGCCGATGGCCATGTGAGGCTCGCATCCGACAGGTATTCCTAGTGGCGTCCATGCGTTGCTTGTCATCCCTGAACGGTTGTACGTGAAATTTCTCAGGGTCCGCGCCGGCTCGTAGCAATCGCTCGACGCACTTGACACGATGGTGCTTGGCCGCAATGTAGAGCATGGTTTCATTCGTCTAGACACCGCCATATACACAGTCGAGTTGCTAAACTATTGCAGATGGAAAACGACATACGGTCGGTGACACCAGTTGCACGTTGCACGACGGCTGCTGGAGGAGAAGCCCGAGAATGTCCAGTCGACCTTGCACGCAAACGTGGTGCCACACTTTGCGGCCCTACAAGAAAGTATTGTCGTATCGCACTAGTGCCCGGCACATCGACGCACCGCTGGTGTTTGGTCATCGACCAAGAGCTGGCTTCGTGGAATGCTCAGAAAGTGCGTCTTGAGGTCCTCCCACTGTTTGGCTTCAGCAAGCTCCGCGAGCCAGTCGTCCACGCGACCCATTTGACTGCCGCAGCACTGGAGTCGCGCATCGCCTTGCCGATCCACGTGCGACTAGCCAAATATTGTCTACGGAATAGACAGCGTCCATACCAGGCGCGCCGGGTCCAGCGGGGTCTTGGCGATGCGACAGAGCTCCGCCAACACGCTCACCAGCGCCTCGTTGTGAGCATCCACCGTCTTGGTTGTGCACGTGAACGCGCCTTTGGCCAAAAGGTCCATGGCCGTTTGTTGGTTCTACCACATACACACGTTCATTCCTCTCTGGCTGCCGTAGCGAATGCTGTACAATGTCCGTCATTTGAAGCAGCGGCTCGGTGCAGTACGGCAGGAATCGACGGAGGACGTTCATGTGACCATACTTGGCTGCATACATGACGACCGTTTGACCGTCCTACGAGTCCTCGCATCAGCCAACAAAAGCACTTGACAAGGTGTACGAATTCAGGCTCGCCAAGCGCTTGTGTAACGTGCTCGGCAGCCTTTTGGATGCGCTGGCGATATGCAGTAATAACGTCGTTGCTACCGTGCTTCTCGACACACGACAGACAGGGCGCTCCGTGGTTGGACACGTGTGCTTTGTTGCAGATAGCGCAGGCCCACGTCGGCACGGTATAGCGCAGAGGCGGCGTCATCCCGCTCACACCTTCCCACGTACCCGCGGCAAGATCGACGATGCCCTTGTACAAGATGTTGCGCACGAGAAGCTCGAGCATATTGTCGGCGCGGCGCCATGTGCCTATCACAGGACGTCCGTCGCTGGCGTCGCCCGCCACAATGTACGTCTGGAGCGACGCGTCGGGCAGGACTGATACGTCGATGAACGAGCCATCGATGTGCACCCATTTGAAGTGCTCAAAGTGTTGGCCGAGAAGACTGCCGATCCAGTGGTCCACTCGCGAAACGTCGCCGGCGCGGGCGAGGCAATGCCCGTGGTAGGCGTCGCGGAGCCGTGCTTCGCGGCCGAGAAGCAGTCGAATACTGTCGGCTTGTGCGATCTCGAGTGGGGTCTTGCCGTCCTGCGTTCATAGTGTCAGAAATGACTATAGACAATGTGTGTTGTCGAACCTCGTTCTTCCAGTCCACCGCAGCGTTGGCGCAGAGGAGGAGGTCGACCACGTTGATGTCGTACGACTCGACCGCCAAATGCAATGGCGTCTCCAGTTTCTACAGTAGACCGTGAGTCGCCATCGAAGAAGGCTACCTATGTACCTTGGTTCGCGCGTTGACGTTCGCACCTGCACGCAGAAGCCGCTTCAAAGCGAGGGCTTGGCCGCGCTTGGCAGCGACGTGCAACGGCGTTTCACCGTCCTGACAAATATCAACTTGATACGAAATAACGCCCATGCGGTTGTACCTCGTCTTCGATGTCGACGGTGGTAAAATATGGAAGGAGCAGTGCCAGCACATCGTCATGACCGCCCCACGCCGCAAAATGCAGCGCCGTAGCACCCACCTATTCGATGGATGTGGAATGGTCGGTCCAGTGGACGCAGGCGTACAGAGAGCTTGGCCGTGACATCCATTTCGGGCAGCTTGGCGAGCAGTAGCTTGAGAATGGCCACGCGATTGTTGCTCGCCGCTTCCTGCAGCGGACGCGTCGTGTACTACGAACCATACATCGCATCGAGTCTTCCAGCTCCAGTGTACCTCGGGGATCGAGGCGTAAGGTGTTGTTTCAAGCAGGAGCGTCACCACGTCCAAAAGACCGAGCTCACACGCTTTCGAGAGCACTGTCGCGTGATCGCCGCTCTGCGCCAACATTTGCAGAATCGGCTCAACGATAGAGTAGTCTTACCTCGGCCGTTTGGAGGTCCTCGGGCGTGTACGAGCGATCGCGCAGTCGCTGCAGCACCAAGAGCGCATTGTCCTCGTCGAGCAGCCGGACCATGGTCGAGTTTGTCGTGGCGTCCACGGCGGCATCGTCGTTCGTGTCGTCGATTATCGATCCGCGCCGACCTGACGAAACTTGATACGGCGACTTGGCAGGGACGGCGCCATAGGTGCGGTTGAAGCGCCACCACGAAACGACGCGGTTGCCCCACATTGCAGCTTTGCGATGAATTCTCAAATGCGATACGTCCGCTCGTTGCGGTCGTTCGAGTTCGAATATCCGAGCGCGTCGAACATACGCTGTTGTTCGTTTAAGCTTCATCGTTTCTAGTGGCTCTTATAGCACTTTCTTCAGGTTCTACAGCACAACAGCAGCCAAACGTGTTTGTGGGCAGCTAGCTGATCCCACCGGGCGCTATGAACAAGAGTGTTGGCTCCCGTAGATGCGACGAGTCGACGACGTAGCTCTTTTCCATTTAGTATTTACTCCCTGCCACCTCAATGGCTTGCAACTCGGTTATCTATTGTCCTAGGAAAGTGGTGTATATATGTACAAGATGAATGAACAGAGCTCGTGTCATTGCGTCGCGTCAAACTTGTATGTGCATGCAAAGGCGCTACGGAGATTAGGGTTGTTTGTGCTGGAGGAGTCGCTCGACGATATCCGTGTGGCCATTGCGTGCGGCGATGGCCATGGCTGTCAACCCGTCCTAGAGTACGTATATATATGTACGACTAAGGTCAATGAATGACGCTCACGTCTACCTTGTTGGCAACATCGACGGCATCGGGCGCCTTTGTGAGAAGAAGCTCAACTACAGAGCCTTGTCCAAACGTCGCGGCCAGGTGCAGTGGTGTGTTCCCATCCTACGGGTTTTGTTTCGCGCTGGTATAGCCAGCCTCGTGTCTACCAAATCTTGGCAAAGACGAGCGCCCGCGTGCAGCAACTCCTCTGCGATCTTAGCCCGATTGACCAACGCCGCCACATGGAGGGCGGTCTGGTCAAACTACAGCCAGTTTTCCACGTAGGACATCAGACAGCAAATATGATACGAACCCCGTCCCGTGCATGGACGGCGGAACTCTCTTCCTCCAACATCGACGCAATGCGCGCTGTCTGGCCGCGGCTCACCGCGCGATGCAGCGCCGGCACCTGCTTCAAGCATGCTCGTCAGAAGGAAGGAACAAAAGTCGATGCACCTGTTTTGCGAGTTGTTGCTCCGACGACATCTTGCCAAGCTGGCATCGACGGGCATGGTCCAAGGCAGCCACAACCTCGTAGTGTTCATGCACAAGCGCGGTGAGCCGGGCGGTTGCATTGTTCTACGCATCTCAATTATCTCATTTCTTTGTTCAGCATCATACGGAGGCAACGTAGGCAATGTTAGCGCCAGCGACCACAAGCTTGTGAACGACCGAGAGAAGACCAAGTTGGGCGGCGCAGTAGAGCGTTGTGGTCGAGTTCTACGAAAAGCGTGAGGCGACAGGACGTTGCACTGGCATGGAATACCCGGCGCTTGACGTTGGTGTCGGCGCCCGACACAAGAAGGAGGTCCACAATCGCTTCGTGTCGTTTCTCGACGGCCACGTACAAGGGCGTCGCGTCATCCTAGTCGCCGTATCGCTACGACAACAAACGCTCTCGGGCGTACGTGGTCGGCGAGGTTGACATTCGCCTTGGCAGCAACGAGCTGCTGCACAACATCGACTTGGCCATGCGGGCGGCCAAGAGCAGGGCAGTGTGCCCGTCCTACACGACACATAAGACTCGATCCTCTGCACAATATTCGAGTACGTCATCGACGGCATCGACGTCCGCGTGCGCCGCCAAGAGCATTGAAACGATTCGCGTGTAGCCAGCCTCGGCGGCCACCATGAGGTTGGTCTCATTGTCCTAGAACCACAGACATGTTGTGTCCATTCCATAGGGCGGGTGGAGGCAGACGCTGTCAGGTCGGTCGTTGACATTCATGTCGGGATGCTCAAGCAGAAGGCGCGCAACCTCTGTATGGCCCTTGGTGCACGCAACATCAAGGGGCGAGCAGTTGCCCTAGACGACACTCCGGGTCTGTCCCACGTCAACAGCACTCGTACGCGATTGCGCAAGTTCACATTGGCTCCAGCCGATAGCAGCAGCGCCACAACCGACGGGTGGTCCCACACGGCAGCGGCATACAGCGGTGTTCGGTTGTCCTGGCGCCATAGTGCATACACAACACGATATCCCGTCGAGACGTACGCCGTTGGCAGTATCAACGTTGGCACCTGCGTCCAGCAACAATGCCACGGCGTCGATGTGACCGTTGCGTGCGGCCAAGTACAAGGCAGTTGCGTACGTCTACGCAGCGTAAAATCATCTCTTGTTGCGTTCCTCGAGGGAGAGGACGCACGCCGTTGGTCAGCTCAACGTCGGCGCCCGCCGCCAAAAGCAACTGAACGAGCTGTGTGCGGCCGTGTTGCGCTGCGACATGCAGTGGGGTCCACCAACTCTACCAACAACGTCAAATAAGATCAGATAGGACATTCGCTACCTCGTTCGACTCGTTGACGTTGGCATATGCGTCGACAAGCCGACGCACGACCTCTAGATGACTGTGCTCGACGGCGAGATACAGCGGCGTCGCACTCGTCTGCGCTGGTTCTTAGCAATCGAGTGGCATCATGGTGAACGACCTTGTCGGACAGATCGATCCTTGCCCGTGCATCCAAAAGCTGTTGGACAATCGATGGATGGCCCAACGAGCTGGCAACGGCGAGCGGGGTTGCGCCGGCCTACGCCTGCAATGTAACCTTGCGTTTCTCGAGCTGGGGCGGGCTCGGCGTACCTCATTCTGTGTGTCGACAGCAGCACCTGCCTTTAAAAGAAGCTGGACGACTGTGGTATGACCTTCGACCACGGCGGCGTGAAGTGGCGTGTCTCCTGTCTGGCATAGACTGTGATCAATGGTGTCGTCAGAGCACAGAACGTATGGTCTGCAGGACGACATACTACCTGCGCGCTTTGCACGAGGTTGGCGCCGGCTGCGAGAAGCGACATGACAACCGAGTCGTGTCCGTTGGCAGCTGCGACGTGCAAGATCGAGAGACCATCCTAGAATTCTGTAGCTGACACGCTGTTGATGGTGCAGAGCACACGTTGTTTGCGTGATGGACGTCGGCGCCTGCAAGCAAGAGCCGCTCGATGATGTGTGCATGACCGTGCTTGGCCGCTGTAAAGAGAGGTGTCTCGCCCTCCTATGTCATCGTAGTACCCGCGAATGACTCGTTGAAGACACATACAAACGCTACATCGACGCTGGCCTTTCCCGTGCATACCAGCACCTCGACAACGTCGAGATGCCCGTTCTGAGCGGCGACAAAGAGCGGTGTAGGACCATCCTACGAAGCATGATATACAGGTTCGATGGTATTGCATACATCGTGCGCGCTGGCCGTCCAGTCGCGTTCGGTATGCGGCAGCGACAAGAACGTGGTCGATGGTAGGCTCGCCTGCGCCATCGTCATTGTACGCACGTTGCCCTGCAAGATACGTCGTTTACTAGTGGCGTTTGGTCGACGTCAGCGTCGGCAAGCACGGGCCGCTGCGCGATGGCGGCGTGGCCCAGCGTCGCAGCCGGAAAGAGCGGCGTTGCATGTTGCTACATGAGCTTGTGAGAGCGGTAATGACGATGGAGCTGTACCCAAGACTGCGAGCGCGGGCTCACGCCAGCGCCGAGAAGGTAGGCGACGTCGGCCATGCGATTGTCGAGCGTCGCCGAGAGCAGCTGTCGGTCGCAGGTCGCCAGCCTCAACCTGCAAGATACCCTATCGCATTTGATTGGCTGAAACGCAAAATCAGGTAGCCAATCGAAGACGGCAAAATGGATCTTGCGGTCGCGCATCGAAGCTCGTATGGCGAGTTGAAAGCGGATGGCGCCGTTTTGTCGCAATATCATTATCCAGCAACTAATAGTCTTCCGTTCGACTCTTGCAGCAAGTCGACAATCTCTTGGGCCGATGGACGCTGCGACGGGTTGTACGCAAGGCAGCGAGAGATGAGGTCGCGCAGCCACGGTGCACACGTGCTGCTGATACTCGGTTGCAGCTTGCCGTCGCGCACGTCGCCTCGAAAGGTGCAGTCGTCAATGTCCTGCGTCGCGTACGGCAGCTGCAGCGTCTCCAGCTCGATCAAAATGACGCCAAACGAGTACACGTCGGCCTTGTCCGAGTAGATTTGGCCTTTCCGGAGCATCTCGGGGGCCGTCCAGAACGGCATTCCGCCACCAGTATGCGGCGGCGACGACGGTGCGGTCGGCTGCTTGAACGCAAGACCGAGACCACTGACTTGGATGTAGTTGGTCGTCGAGAGAAGAATGTTGGAGCTCTTGAGGTCTCGGTGGCGCAGACCTTGGCGATGAAGGTCGGCGAGGCCGTTGGCCACGACCCACGCGACGTCAAGCAGAGAGTTGTCGACCTCGGTATCGAGACCGTCGCGTTTCTTGTCGAGGTACATGCGGAGATTGCCGACGTTCATGAGCTCAAGCACAAGGTTAGGTGCTGGCGTGTTTTGGTCGGCGACCGCCAAAAGTCGCATGAGGTACGGTGACCCGCAACTAAGCAAACCTTCTTGGCAACAAAACCTCGCAACGAGTACCTACGTACCGCTGCAGCGCCGCGATTTCGTTGCGCAGACCTTGGGCGTGCGACGGGTAGATTGCCGTCTTGACGGCAACCAGTTGGTCCTTGAACGCGCCCTTGTAGACAATACAGCCCTTGCCATCGCCCAGGGCGACACTTCGGTCGATCTCAATCTCGTCGGCGGTCACCTAACACGAGTGAGTAGTGCGGTACATCCTGCAATATAGCGAGGCAGTGGTACATAGTGCGTCGTCGACATGGCGTAGAAGAGTTTTTGGGCCATGTGCACGTGGTGCTGCTTGATGGCAACAACAAGGGCTGTCTCCGTCATCTACGCACAGAGTTCATACCCAGCTTGAGTCAAGCAGTGTCGTGAAACCGCGTTGCGCTGCTGCAGGTCGATAGCGCGTGATTGAAGCAGCACGTCGACAATCGAGTCTTGCTCGTGTCGGATTGCAATATGCAAGAGACTGTCTCCCGTCTATAATAGCCGGAGGTGTGGTGTCTACGAATCAGTAGACAATATTGTACTACACACCTCGGCCTGAATGGTGTTGGGATTCGCATTTGCTCGAAGAAGCGACTGCAGTCTCTGTACGTCGCCCGAAACAACGCTTTGAATCAGCTGCTCGTTGATAGTGTCGGAATCCTCGACGTCAAACACTCTGTCGCAAACGACACTCGGAACTGGCTGCGCTGGGTCGGGCACATCATAATCATCGTCGTTGAAGAACCCGTCTACGGCCGTGTCCGACGCGTCGGTGGCCTCTTTCGCGCTCATTCTTGCCCGGAAGATGGCGAGGATTTCTTCGTTCTCGAGCTCTATCGCCAACGTCAGCGGTGTCTTGTTGTCCTACAACGATCGTTTGAAAATCAGCGCTATACAACAGTAAGCTGCAACAATAGTCTTGCAGTCCAAGCTGGCGCCGGCGTCCAACAGCACCTGGACCACGCTGTGATGCCCCGCGGTGACGGCCGCATGCACAGGTGTCTGTAGTGTCTACAGCTTCATGTTGTAGTCGATTGTGAGCGCAAGAAGGTACCTCTGTGGCCAACGCCACGTCAGCGTTGGCGCGAAGGAGCTGCTGCACGACAGTAACATGTCCGTGGGCGGCGGCCACATACAGCGGCGTTGACCTCATCTACGACAAGATGGACATAATCGCCAGTTAGAAGATCGATATACGGATGATTACGCAGTCGAGGGCATCAACCTCGATGCGTGGCTGGTCCAGGAGAAGTTGGACAATGTCACGAGAATCATCAGCAGCTGCCACGTGCAGGAAATAGCTCCCGTCCTAGATTCACAACGATGTACATATTATTGTCATCGCTGCTGAAATACGTTGATGCGGGCTTTGGCTTTGGCCAAGAGAAACGAAACCCCGACTCCGGCAGTTGGCTACTCGACGCACCCAGATTCGAGAGTGAATTCTTGTATTGAAAGCGAGCGACGTGCCTCGTATCGGGTGTTGGGGTCGACTCCGGAACGGAGTAGGTTGGCCACGTAATCAGCCTTTCCTGTCAAAACAGCGTCCGAAATCAACATCTATGGTCCATAAATCACTTGGAAACCACATTAGTAGAAGATTACCGTGGTGTTGGTCGTCTCGTCGTCGCGACTTCTTGAATTCAGAGCTTCATTTAGCATAGCCATAATTTCGTTGTGCCCCTTTGCCTGCGCAGCCATGTACGGCGACTCGATGTTCTATTTATGACGCAAGAATGCTGACTTCCAAGTGGGTTTGAACGCAAATGTACATGGCTGCTCATGCTTGGGTCGGCGTGGGCGGCCAGCAGACGCGTAACAACGTCAACGTGCCCTTCTTTAGCCGCTAAAAAGAGGGCCGTCTCTTGGTCCTAAATGATGCTTTAAAACACGTAATGCGATGGAATGGGACACAGTACCTTGGTTTGAGCATTCACATCGGCGTTCACGGCCAACAGCACTGAGACGACTCCGCCGTGACCATATTCTGCAGCCAAGTGCAAGGGCGTATAAAGCCGCTACATGTGACTCGCATGATAGACGATCGGAGGCGAGGTTCTAGCGTACCTTGGAGCTTGCATTGACGTTGGCGTTTGCAGTCAAAAGCAGTGATACAACACCCTCATGGTTGAACATTGCTGCCAAATGCAGCGGAGTTTGTTTCGCCTGGACACAATCTATGAGAGCTGGGGTAGAGTGTTGGTTGTACATTGTCGACAGCGTCAATGACAATGCGTGGACGTGCCAAGAGCAGTGCGACGATCTCTGTCACGCCCACGATCGCCGCGATGTGCAATGGCGTGAATCCGTCCTAATAGAAATGATAGTATCAAATACTATTTTGTCAAATGAGCTATAGACCGTCAGCACGTCTTCCTCGGTTACCGGATCGGTCCACGTCATTGGCAACGCCACTTGCCACTCGGTCGACTGGATTTTTAGAGTCAACAATTTATATAGATGAAAGGACAGTGTTATCGCGGTACCGAGTATGAAATCGTGACAGGAACGTTAGCTTGCAGCAGACGCAAGGTCGAGGCATCGTCCTTCGTGCTCAGAGCAGTGACAAGCTGTACGAGGTTGGCCATAGCCTTGTCCAGAACGCCAACGACGGAAGCGTGACCATTCGCCCTGGCAATGTCTCGAGGCTTGATGTCTTCCTACACATCATAACCAAGTCACGACGTGGTTCGGACGCTATCGTTGTGCGACTTCGTTGCATTGAAAAGGATTTGCGTCAGCGACCAAAAGCGCCTCTACGACAGCTGTGTGTCCGTTGGCAGCGGCGGCACAAAGCGGGGTTGTCTACAGTGAGAAGTGCGTGGTAACAGGAGACTGCACCAGCACGTCGTACGCCGTCGTGACACTGGTTGATGTCGGTCCCAGCTTGGAGAAGGCGCTCGATGTCATCCAGAAGACCCTCTTCGGCGGCGACGCAGAGAAATTTGGTGCCCTACACATAATTCTGCCATGAGAGAAAGTCGAAGCCATGGCGATGGTGCGGACGCTCATTTCGCGGCGTCGCGACGGTGCAAGATACAACTGTTGGCCGCAGAAACGGCAAATGATATTCTTCTTTTTTCTTCTCCTCTTCAATTGGCACAAAGTGTTAGATCCCCACATCCTAGAGGGTACTCGCCAAACGATAGACCCCCGTCCTTGTGTCGAGAGCCAGCTACGTACAATAATTGTACATATGTACCGCGATGTAGAGTCTTGGCTCTACACTGTAGTCGCTCCTGGTCGGATCACGCGGAGACATATGACTTCCACCTGGCATTTTTGCACCATAATTGTTGTTAGTGCATAGCTGTACAATCTCAAGGCGCCGCGTAGAATTGGTCATGGAGGGTGGTCATAATGTCTCGGGTACTCGGGCGCTTCGTGGGGTCGGCGGCCATGCATCGCATCGCCAGATCTCGGTACCATGGCGCGCAATGGTCGCGCAGCGACGGGCGAAGCCCTTCTTTGATCACCTTGTTTGCAATCACATACGACGACTCGTTTTGGGTGGTAAACGGGTCCTGAAGCTTGTCGAGTTCGGTCATGATGACACCGAACGCGTAAATGTCGGCGGAGAAGTCGTACGAGGCGCCCGAAACAAAGACTTCGGGGGCCATCCAATACGGTGTCCCCGCATGTGTCGTCATATTCGGCTCAAACTCGCGCGTCAAGCCAAAATCGCCCACCTTGACATAGCCCGTTGAGCTCAAAAAGACATTTCGACTCTTGAGGTCGCGGTGCATGATGCCCTTGTCGTGCATATCAGCGAGCGCGTTGACGATGGCCCAGAGAATCGCAAGGTTCGAAATCGTTGCTAGGGTCGGTGTACCGGCGCGCTTGCACCGGAGGTAGGCGCTCAAGTCACCCATGTCCATGAACTCGAGCACGAGTTTGGGCGTCTCGTGGTTCAAAATACCCAGTAGCTGCACTGTATACGGCGACTTGCACCTAAAACAAAGTGAAATCTAGATTGCAAAACATACCAGAGACGTACAATTGCGTCGCACAAAGCTCACGGCGAAAGACTTCGTTTGGCTTGTAACCATTGCAGAAATGCTTGACGGCTACGGTCGTCCCTTGATACGTCGCCTTGTACACATCACCCGTCGCACCACTACCAAGGTGCTCGGCGTTATGCTCGACCAAGTCGGCGGCCGAAAGTTCCTACACAAACTGAGTACGTCAAGGCGCGGTATGAGGGAATGTACGACAGCGATTTCGTTGCGGTGCACGAAGGCGTAAATGTGTGCCGCTATACGTCGATGCATGCGCTTGATGGCCAACAGGAGCGGCGTCTCGTTGGCCTACACGCGTATTAGTCGCGCAAAGCAGACATCCTGTGGACCTTGTTCTTCTTCTTGGCATCGACACCAGGCAGAAGCAAGAGGTGTTGGACCAACGCGGCATTGTTTTCCGCCACAGCCAAATGCAAGACCGACTGCCCTTCCTGCCAGGCAAAACGTGTTCATGGGATGTGTCCCGTACCAAGGAGACACCGCGTACCTCGTTTGTCGAATTGATGCCTTGCTGGAGCTGCCGCGAGATGGCTTTCGTGCTGCTGGCAGCGGCAAGTTTGGTCAGCGCCAGGTTCGTCGCTTGGTCAAGTAGGTCGACGATGGCCGCATAGCCATTCTGCACGGCAACATCCCGGGCCGATTTGTGGCTCTACCAAAATTGCATGCGATCGCATTGATGCCATTGGTGAGAACGCACACTGCTGGTCGCAGTTAGATCGGCGCCGGCGTCAATCAGCAGCTGCAAAACCTCGGTGTGTCCGAGTTTGGCCGCAGCAAGGAGGGGCGTGTAGCCGTTCTATACTCCGTGAACGGTGAATGGCTACACTAAGATGCGTTAAAACGTACAGCTTGGGGTGTGTTGACGTTGGCTTTTTCTTGAACAAGCAATCGCAAGATTTCGACAAAGCCGTACGTAGACGCCACGTATGCTGGTGTGCATTTGCTCTATACACATTTGTTTGTTTGGTCCCAACGAATGCATTCTGTACATACATTATGGTCTGCAGCGTTGATGTCGGCACCAGCTTTCACAAGGCGGCACACGATGTTGGTATGCTGGCGACGCACCGCGATGAGCAACGGTGTCCATCCGTGCTAAATGATATGAAACTGTCAGTAACTGTCAGTCTACAACAGTGTCGATCTCACGTCGTTTCGGGCATCGATGGCGGCTCGCGCAGTTACAAGCTGCTCAACAACAGACTCGTGCCCGTTCTCGGCGGCCACGTAGAGTGCCGTAGCGCCAGTCTATCGAGATTTCTCATTGGCTTCGCAACCAAAGGCCAACATACTAGTTTAGGTGAATACCTCATTCGTTCGATCGACGTCAGCGCCAAGTCTGAGAGCAGCCTTGACGTCGCTGATATCGCCGTGGAAGGCAGCGTAAAAGAGACGCTGGTGGAGCGTGTCCTACAACAAAGAAGGTTTGAGGCCGAACCATCTGTGTTTGCTCAGAGTACGCTCATTTAGGTTCTTTCCGCGAGCAGGATGAATCGGAAATGACGGAGTATGGGTAACTCTCCGCTGGATAGCTTTGCACACATCGCTTGATAATCTCGATATACATGTTCATGGATAGGTAGGTCCCAATGCAGTGATATGTTGGCTCGCGGTCGTAGGCACACTCTTCGACGCAGGTTAGAGTTGCGCGCACTGCACTGATTTGAATTGGATTGCATATCGACATGATATTATTCTCGTTCATTTCAAGAAAGGTGGTCTCATATACCGGTTCTTGATAAATTGTTTCTTTCAATATTATCAAGTCGTCGGAGCCATTCTCGTATTATTTGGTTCGCAACCACGATACAATTTCTTGGCAAGCCGTCGCACGATGTTTCTACAAGAATACCCGACGGCTTGCACTCCTCTGCCGGGCGGCCCGAGTACAGGAGCCTGCGTACGACCTCGCGCGAGCTAGGACTCGGTGAATGGGATCCACCACGGGATGGATCTCTCCGTACGCAGCTCACTCCCAACGACCAAGTGCTGGTGCCAACTCCCACGCATTCACAACGTATGCGAAGTCTTTATAATAATAGCGAAGACAACGCGGAATACCTTCATATATATATAGGATTAAGGCATGGACCACACCAGATCAGGTGTCGCTTTGGCTTCGAGTCCAAGCTCGATCTCGACGAATCTCGACGGCGTCTTCCGACCACATATGCTATCATTACTTGCGCCCCAAACGGGTGGCGCACTGTCCGAGCTCGTAATCGAACAGTGACGATGGTTGTATTTCCTCAATACCTGCGCTCGGGAGCGAACCCGATGATGCATCCAACGACGTTGCATCGGTCAGCGAACACCGTACGTTATGACACGCACGAAAGCAGAGGGTACGTTTCATAGCACATGTTTGGCTGGAATCTGGCTGCGAATTTTCCGCTAGAGATATTAAAAGAGTCCATTGTCCTTTGCCGCGAGGACTCTGAGCCCGTTGCTACCTTGACACACTCTACGCAAATGCTGCTATTGTTTGAGACACATATCCGTTTGCACCGAAGATTGAGGCACCGACCGAGCCAGGCGCGATGAACAGCGGGTGAGGTTGCATACACAACATGTGTCTCACGGCATTCTAAGAACTGAGCTAGAGCGGGTATTTCTCTCCCAATTATGAAGAACTCGTACCGCGCATTCTAAACTCCACATAGCTGTCCAAGCAAACGATACCCAATGGTCGAATAGCGTGCGACGTTACTAGTACAGTGTATGATAGGAAGCACAATGAGTTTGGCGCATGGTGCGGACACAGATACAGTGTCTTGGCCTTCGCGAAACGTTGCAAGTCCAAGACGGTTTCTCTGCAACCAGCTGGTTCGTGTACGTGTCGTCCAAGGGGCACAGCCCAATGTCGCCTTCGCAAAAGCTCACTTTTCAATCTTCCTTCTCTCCAGCATCGTACTCATGAAGCTCTCGTACCTTCCGCTCGCGCTCCTTGCGATCGCCTCCGACCTTGTCTTTGGTGGCACCAACGCGCCTGGGCTGGCCGCCGGTGTCACAGGCGGCGGCAACGCAACGCCCGTATACCCCACAAACATCAACGAGCTCAAGGCGTACCTCCAAGACGCTGTGCCCCGGGTCATTGTCCTCAACAAGACGTTCGACTTTCGCGGCTCCGAGGGCAAGAAGACCGAGACGGGGTGTCGCCCCGACTACACGCGCGCTTGCATCGCCAAGAAGAATGGTTTCCAGAGCCAAGATGTGATTTTGCAGGCCGGTGGCATGGCCAACACGGGCGGATGCACCAACGGCACGCCCGTCCAAGTCTCGTACGACGTTGCGGCCACGAAGAACCCGCTCGTCGTGTCGGGCTCCAAGACCATCCGTGGTGAGGGCCAGAAGGGCGTCATTGTCGGCAAGGGTCTCTGGCTTCGCGGCGACAACATCATTCTTCAAAACGTCCATGTGACCAACCTCAACCCGCAGTACGTCTGGGGCGGCGACGCCATCTACCTCAACGGCAAACCCGATGGCTCAGCCCTGCAAAAGATCTGGATCGACCACGTCAAGATCTCGCTTGTCGGTCGGCAGATGCTCACGACCGACGGCGCTGGCTCAGACAGCATCACCGTCAGCAACTGCGACTTTGATGGCCACACAACATGGTCGTCGTCGTGCGATGGCCACCATTATTGGAACAACATTTTCATCAGCAACCTCAAGATGAGCTACATCAACAACGTCATCCATCACACCTCCGGTCGCGCGCCCAAGATCAACTCGTCCAACGGCAAATACTCGGTGCAAGTGCACGTCGCCAACAACTACTGGTACGACAACACGGGCCACTCGTTCGAAGTCGACCAGGCGTACGTGCTCTCAGAAGGCAACTACTTTGAGACGACGGCGTTGCCCAACCTTGCCGAGCCCAACGGCTGGATCATGTCGACGACCAACGACAACAAGGGCACATGCAAGGCGGCGCTCGGCCGCGACTGCGTCCCGGACGCATTTACCAACAGCGGCAAGTTCGTCGACCATGGCGCAAGCGCGGTGCCGGCCAAGATGAAGGGCATCGCGACGGCATTTTCGACGCAGCCCGCCAAGCGCATTACCTTGTCGACGGCTAACTTTGGTGTCGGCAATCTCTAACTGTGCATTTTATCGTGTTGTCCTTTTCTAATATCAAAATGTTCATGAACGTCATTTTCAGCGAATTACTTTACTTTCAAATTTCTCCAAAAAAAAGTCCATCCCTCTATCGGCGCCAGCGCTTCGTCCATCGATTCGTACCATGCTTGATGTTGGTGCTAGTCTCTATCTTCATGCCGAGCTGCGCTCAAATTGCACTACGATCTTAGTTTACATCTGGGATCGCGTCTTGCTCGCGCCATACGCCTCGGACGTCGACGCGACCTCGTACTCTCCAACGCGTTCTCTACCAATGTGCGAACCGTTGGTGATTTCGTTTCCAAAAGCAATGTGCTTGACCTGCTTTAGTCGAACCGGCCGGCCGATCTTGGCAAGAGCGCTCATGGCGTCGATAACGCATGCGCATTGCTGATCGAGTCGACAGGCGGCATTTTCGACCCAGCTCGCCAAGCGCATTTCCTTGTTGACGATCAACCTTGGTATCACCATATCACCAACTTCTAACTTTGAAGTCGCCGTTATTTCCCTTATTGAAGTAAGAAGTTGGAAACAACATCCTTTTTGCCGTCGCCATCTTGCTTTCAAATTCATAAAATTCATAGAGTAAGATCCTACATAACTCTATCGCCGCTGGCGCTTTGTCTGTCGCGTCGTATCGTTCTTGACGTCCACAGTTGTCTTTGTTGATGTGCATAATTGCGCTTGCAACGTTGCAATGACCGTCGCAACTCGGTCTACCACGGCGGCTTCGTTACTGCGCGCGTCGGCAGCCCGCGGGAACGTCGAGCCCCACACGTCTCTGGAGCCATATGCGTAGCTGAACGACTCGCTGTATGAGTTGGCCGATGGCTTGGTCGTGGCCAGAGCGAAAAGTCTGCGGCACAAAGGCGCATCGACATGCACGAAGAGGTTCGCCAGCGGGAGCAGCAGCTGGTCCGTCTCTCGCAGTGTTTTCCAAAGCGCGTCACACCACACGTCAAGGAACGCTAGCAGCTCGTCGATCGCGAACCATCTGAGCAGCTCGATCGCATCACGCACGAGTTTATGCGCCTTGGACGTATCTGGCGCGTAGACCGTGCAACGCAGCATCCGACAGCGCATCTCTTTCTCAGCGAGCGTGTGCGATGACGCGACGATATAAGCGGCGATCCGCGACGTCAAAGCCGGTGCGACCAGCTCTTTGAACTTGGTGGCAATCGTACGGGCCACGGGGAGCAGCCCAAGGCCCCACGCTCTGGTCAAGTTGAGAAATACGGCGTCGTCGAGGCGCTTTACGAAGAGTGCGAGGTACATGAGGCTTCCCGCCACGTCCAGGCCCGCTTGCTCCAAGTCGCATACGTCCTGCTCAGTCATGGTGCGAGCGCGGAACGCATCGAGCACATGCGCGACCAACGGGCTGCGTGCGATCGTCGGATCGCGTTGAATCGCAGAGGCGAGGCCCACTGCAATGTCTGCGTGGAAGTTGCAGCTGCGGTCTGCCATGAACAGCGGCGCCACCGATGGCGGCGGTGGCAAGACAAATGCATCGACGGCCGAGACGAGCGCCGGTGGCAGGCGGTGGCCAATGTAGTTGGCACGCGCGAGGTGTGGCGCCGTGTTGGTGACGTAGGCTTCGAGAAGCAAGTTCCGCTTGAAAATGACGTGTCTATAGTCCACGGGCGACGACAAGACGGGATCGACGAGAAGCGCGGCCCAGCACCGCTAGAGCAGCTCGGCTTCGTGTTGTAGGCGCAACGGCGGGCACAGCGGCGCATCGTCGAGGCCGACAAAGCTCGTCAAAAGGTGCAGAACGTCAAGGACGTGTCGTTTGGACAAGCGCGGGAGGAGCTGCAGCAATGCCGGTAAGAACGGCCCCCATCCATGCGTCGTGAGGAGCCCATGCAGCCAGAGCGCGACGTCGGACACGGACACATCTTCTCGATCGAACGAGACAATGTTGGCGACAAAGTGCAGCGTGAGGTCGAGATCATCTTGATGCGCCAAGAGACGGGCCATGATCGCCAGTGGATGCCTTCGCCCATAGAAATAATCTTGTGGGAGCCGTCGATCGGGGCCAAAGGTCGTCATCGCCGCACGCAAGATTACGTCCACATCTCTAAGACCGAGATAACCGTCATCTTCGTCAAGCCCGTGGCCATCGTCCGGCGCGTCCCCGAGCAGCACGATGGCCAAGTACTCGAGTGCATCGTCCCAATCGCCCAGGACGACGCGGTGATGTTTTGGCCAAAAGATCAGCCGACACGACGACTCTGCGCTGTCGCCGAGGGTGAGATCAGGCTTTCGGTACTTGCACGTGTCCCAAATGATGTCGGGCACGCCGCAGGCAGGGTGCAGCAGTACGTAGCCCGCTCTGCAGTAGTACGTCGCGTCCACCACCAACCCGACGTCAAAGCATTTGGTCACAAGAAGGACGTCGACGAGGCCCTTGTCAATGCTCTCAAGGTGCTCGAACGATGGAGGTTCGCTGGGCGTCGGGTACGCAACGGGCTTGCCAATGCACTGGTATGTCAAAAACGGTGAGTGGGCGAGCGCTGTGAACGCTGCAATGGCCGGTTCTTGGTTGGGCGCCGCCAATCGCATGTTGTCGTGCGCCTCGTCGTAGCTCAATCGAAAGACGAGTGCGACGCGGCGACCCGATGTGATCGGCGCCGATGTGAACGAAGTGCTCAGAAAGGCCGCCGCAAACGCCGTCACAACCGGCGACGTCTCGACGTCAAAGCTCGCAGTCTCGCTGCCGTGCGTGCACGTGATGACGCCGCCTTCGTGCATGGATGGAAGGAGAACGATGAGCGAGCCAAACGTGCAGGCGTCATTGGCGTCGTTGGTCGGGAGCAGCTTGAACGTCGCCGCGTCGCCAACGCTATCGATCGCCATGTGCGAGAGAACGAGCTGCATCTCGCCCGTCGGCGCCAAGTCCCGCGTAATGTCTTCTTCAATCGTCTCGAGCATCGAGTTAAAGCCTTCGTCGTAGGCAAACGCTATGGCCGCGCTCGGGATGGGTAGAGCGCTTGGATCTGGGCGGCTTGTGCGGCGGTGAGCGGCCATGCGAGCGGCTCATCCAAGTCCTCGAGATACATGAGGAACGGCGGAGACTGCGGCAGAGCGCCAGTCGAGACGAAAGCGCCCGGCTCGTGGACCAGCGCGACCGCAGCTTCGTACGCGCAACGCTCGGCCACGTGCTTGGCCATGCCAGTCGAAAAAGTCGAAATCGGCAAACTCCGCCAATCGTGGCAATGTTATTAAGCATAATGAGCGGAATATAAAACGCTGGATATGCATTCCGTTAAAGCGACCAATCATCGAGCAGCATGCATCTATCATATCTGATTGACGAACTGCGAGGCCCGTGGTCGGTGACGTCGAGCTCGATGGAGATATGCTCGCGCTCAGCCGGCGCCGCCGATAGATCTTTGACGTGGCGTCAACCTCCGGCCGCTACTGCCGATCGACGCCGGCGACCGGCTTTCCACTCTGTACGCGACGTAGTTACCGGGTGGGTACTTGGCCCTCGACTAGAACGGTTGCAGTAAGAGTGCAGCGCCGGCGATCCGGCCAAGCGATTGCAACGTACTTTGTATTGCGCTTCGCGGGCCGAGGGCGACTTCGCTCTTGGGGTGGATGATGTTGTCCTCGCCGTCTCGACGCCGCCAGACCAAGGGGTTCGCTCGCCGCCATTACGGCAAGAGCACGATTCTGTGGCCCAACTAATACTTGGGCGTTGACGACGACAAGGACCATTTGCACGACGCGCAAGGGCGTTCAGCAGGTACTGTTAGCACCCAGTTTCTCTGCGCGACCCGACTGTGCTGATTGTGTGTCAGACCAT